ATTATGAGATGTATATGAGATATCAATCCCGTACTAACTCAGATGCACTCCTGGCAGAAAGTCATGCTTCCAATTCCCGTTCTGTACCAGTCTGGGCCGGTTCGTCGGTAGGAGCCTTTGTCTTACTTTTGATGGTTAATACCGCGGGTTCGACTATGGACCAATATCCATAATATCAAATAGTATCATAGTAGAAATAAACAAATAAATAAACATATATATATATATCAACGAATCATCATATATCATGGTTGGTATTTTACTATGGGATCCATAATATATCATAATATCCCCTACTTGGTTGATGACATCAACATGGTGATGAATCCCTGTTGGTTGGTTCAACATATGGGGTACTACTTTGTATCCATGTCGTCACGTTAAAATCCAGAGAAGTGTGTGTTAATAGCCTCATTATTGCTGGCTCATCAAGCATATGATTTAAGATTCAAGAACCATATTTTAAATCGCAGTTGTTATACGTATACACAAGTATATCAAATATTCTAAGAGATATATATATATATGGGTTTTCGAATCCTAGATTAGCATCACCACAAATTATCTCAACTCACCACCATTGATTTATGATGACCATGCATAGTTCAGGTTAAACGTTATGTACATGTTATTAACCATAATTCCCTCTGGTAAATGGTCTTTGCTATTGAAAATCACTTTTGACACATACATCACCTATACATGGGAGGTAAACCATAGATAAACCATAGTTGAACATTTAAGATAGCTATTTGAAAACACTATCTTTCATAGATAAACCACTATATACATGGACCATTTTCATCTGGTTGGTGGTTTGAACCCCTATTAACCACTATTAACCACTATATACATGGACCATTGGTTTATAGCCTATGAAAAACCACGATAAAAACCATCACTATTAACCAACAATCAGTGATTTAATAGGAAAATGATCATTATTAACCATTCACCATTATTACCCACTATTAACCATCACTATTAACCAACCATTTTCATCCATTTTTTCCATATGAACATCACATCATCGATCTCCGCTGCTCCACCCGGCGCACCAAAACGTCGTGAGCCCCGCCGCTGCCAGCAGCGCAGCTGAGCCGAGACGAGGACACCACTTCCACAACAACGATGCCTCGGTTGAGGTGTCGAAAGTTTTTGGAAAGTGGGGCTTAACTTTCCCAATTATATAAGTTACTTGGATAATTTGGTATTTTATTATATCCCAATTATAAGTTGTTATACATAAGTTTTTGGCTTATAATAAAATCCTAAATTATTGGGATATAATTTGTAAAGAATAGGCTTATAATTTTGGGGATATCACAACTAAGTTATATGGGAAAAATCATAATATCCCCAAAAAAACAATCCCAAAGTGGGGCTTAACTTTCCCAATTATATAAGTTACTTGGATAATTTGAGATTTGTTGTTATACATAAGTTTTTGGCTTACAATAAAATCGCAAATTATTGGGATATAATTTATAAATAATAGGCTTATAATTAGGATAATTTGGGATTTGTTGTTATATCCCAAACAAATAAGTTGTGAAATATCCAACTTAATTTGGGATTTTGGGGATATAACAACTTATAAATTGGGAAATAACAACTAACCACAACGGATGACTTTTTTTCGTTGGTATATCCCAATTTACAAGTTGATATATCCCCCAGTTCTAGCAAAAAGGACAAAAATAGACTAGCCATCTAGTTGGTTTCGCTAGAATGGGAGTGATCATGGTTTTACCAGGACCCGGCAACATCTAGCCTCGTCCATAGAAATAGTTGATTTACCCATGAAAACCTGGTGATTTTCCATGGTTTTTGGTAAAGGTTTACCAGAGGGTACAGTACATGTCTGGGCAAATGACTATGATTCATAAACCAAACATACCATCTGGTTATTTAACATAGCCATGGAAAATCACCATTTTTAATAGGTAAACCATCTATTTCTATGGGCCAGCTATACCATGGCTATGTTAGTCATAACCAGAGGGCAAGTCCTTTTAGGAGCTACGATTCCAATCCTAGGCGAAAAAAATGGGTCACTGTCCGTGAGGTCGTGTTCGGAGATACCAGCCATGTCATGGACAGAGTTTTTTTTTCGGACATCCCATTGATATGTCCCAATAGCCTCTGGTTATGACTAACAGTTTGCCATGGTTATTATGATGGCCCTAATCGAAATAGATGGTTTACCGCTCTTAATAGCATGGGGATTTTCCATGGCAAACTGTTAGTCATAACCAGATGGTATATTCTACATCTTCAGACACCAATAATATGGAGTTCTTCTATACCAACCAGATGTTGACCCCCCATATTTGGACTGCTAAAACGCGTTGTAGTAACCTGAAACATGATAGACACGTCTAAGCATCTCTTTGAGGGTTGCTATAATGTGAATATAGCCCTGGATGCTTTGCAGGCCAATTTCCACAAAGAATGGCTACCAGAATTGCACTTTTTAGGTGCAAATCCAGTTCGCTGGGGAGTGCGCATGGGGGATCTACATTCTAGTTGGGTAATACTAAGGTTTTCTAGATGGATAGACATTGATGTAATCCCAGCAGGTTTGTTATATACCCATATGGAGGTTTCCCAAAATGGTGGTAGCCCAGCTATCAGGGGTACCCCTATGACTATGGAAACCACTGTATATATATATATATGTACAAATTAGAGATAATCCATTCCAGCTATAAAATCCCAACATATTCGTTATATATATATATATATCAACTCATAAACATCCCGGCGGATGGGAAACCGCGCGAGCGTTTTGATTGTTTGCTTCCAGGAGAGTCACAATCACCTGTAATTTACAATATAAAATGCTCTTCTGAACTCTTTGGATAACTGAATTTTGGTTAAAAAAAGTGGATGCAAAACCTATTGTTTTTTGACAAATCCAGGTAAACATCATGTGCATCAGACGTGGATGTTCAGATTTTTAACACTCTTCGTCGGCTCAGCGATCCATCAGTGTGGAAGCTGTCTTCGACAGCAAGTTGCCATTATGGCACTCCTAACGCCACTGCCAGCAACGCAGGTATAGCATGACATCTCAGCAGCGTAGCAACATGTCACGTAGTAAGCGATCCCAGAGATCTTAGCAACATGGCAATATATCATGTACGAAGTACAAGGAACGTTAACATGCCCCCCCACCCCACCCCACCCCAACCCCAAGACAAAGAGCAATACTCAAAAAAGAAGCAAAACGCACGTACGGTTTTCCAGCCGTAGGCATAAACATGGTTATATTCATGTTACATAAACAATGAAAGGGATAAGTTATACCAACAAGAGTGAGATTTCTTACAAAACCCATCAGCTCAAATCCCAACGTCGCTGGTTGGTGGTTGACCAACCCCTCTGAAAAATGATGGACTTCGTCACTTGGGATGGATGGAAATTCCCAATATGATGGGAAAGTTATTCAAATTTCCATGAAAACCAAACCAGCAACCAGATGAAATAACCCATCATATCCAACTGAATGGAAAATCATAGGTTGGTGGTGACTTAACCAACTTGAAAAATATGAAAGGACATCCCATATATGAAATGGAAAAATAAATGTTCCAAACAACCAACCAATATAAAAGGTTCCAAACCACCAACCAGTTGGTATAGATGAACTATCAAAAACCTAGCAACGGCGTGCTGGCTGATAGCACCTCTTTTGTGCCTCGAAAGGGCGCCCTGCGGATCAGATGTAGTGGATATGTCGGATACAAGTGGCAATCACAGTTATGATGGAATGTCCTCATGTCCAGTGCTAGTGGTATGATCCTGGGTATTTTCACACCCGTCCTTGATTGCCCCTTGTTTCCTGGCTCTACGTGAAGCTCTAATACTGGCTTTCTTTGCCAGTGCTGCGTCGCTGGGCTCAAGCTGCCACACTCCTTGGTAGAGTGCATTGAGCAACGGTTCTCTTTCGCATCCAGTTTTCGTGAGCACATCAGCGAGTTGCTGGCTTGTGTCGCACCATTCTGCGAACACCATGTCATCATCGCCATAGTTGTTTTCACCAATCATCTCACGTATTTGTGCTACTAGAATGCGAACCCTTTTGTCACCAGGTTGACCTGCGTCTTTGTTCAAAGTGCTCTCCAAACTCTTTGCGTCAGTGATGCAAATGACCTTCTTCTTCACATACTCACGCTCCAAATCGTTAAAACTCACATCAGGATGCTGGAGTTCCAGCAGTAAGGCTCGGACGTATTCGCCTGCCTCAGCACCAGTGAGAAAACCATTGGCCTCTGCAGCAAGTGTACTGCGACAAACTCGCTTCACTGATCCAGAGTAGGTTTCAACAACGAAGAGAGGAGTTGGGGAGCCACTTCGAATGCTCGGCAAGGTCAGAGAGACAACATAGCCGCACTGGGACTTCATGCCTTCAATGTTTGCAAAACTGCTATCTGCAAAAACGCAAACAACCAAATCATCAAGCTTCATGTCAGGATGGGGAACAAATCGCCAAGTCGAATCGGCTGTGTCCTTGAGCATCTTAACGCACTTGTTGAGGTTCACCACATCCTTAATTCTTGGTTTGCTCACACTCTGGGCAGCGACCGACACATTGACCATCAAGTCAGGTCGTGTCTGCCTCGTGATCCAGCCAAGTTGGCCAATCAGGCCGCGGAAGCTTGTGATCTCCTCTGCGGTCAGAGGGGCATTGATACAGGACCGTCTGTCCTTAGTCAAGGGCATGTAGTCCACGCTTTCAATGGCGTCGAACTGATCCAGCTCAATGGTGCCATCGCTATGTTGCTTGACGTTCTTTCCACAAAAACGAAACTCTCGGTGACTAACCTTCAGGTAAATCTCCTTTTCCATGGCTGAAATGCTATCCTGATACACCTTGCCTTCACCTGCACAAAACAAATCATCCACATGTGTAATGAGTACGCCAACAAGCTTGGTGTCAATCACAAGGAGAAACATTGCTGACTCGATTCTTGACATTCTCCAACCAAAACGCTTCAAGGTTCTGAAAAGTTTCTTCCACCATGAGCGACCAGCGTCCTTCGTGCCGTAGATGGAGCCACGTGCTCGAAGGAGGTCATGTGGGCTGATGCCTGGCGGTGGAGGTCTTGGTGGTCTCAAAATCAACAACCTGCTTATTCCTTGTGACTGTAGATATGCAGTGGAGGCGTCACATGCTGAAATTATCCAGTTCATCACTGTCGCAATCATGCAAATGAAGTTGAATGCCAAAAGAGAAGCCGTGGGACTATCTGAGCGGATAGCTTGTGGATCTTCTTGGCACCCTTGGACAACAAGTCGGCTTTTGGCCTGAAAAGGAAATTCTTTCTTGATCTGCGCATCAGATTCTCCAGTCTTCTTCGAGAGATATTTGGCCAAAAGTCTGGGCTTGCTGTTCTTGTCGGTGTGCACCCAACGTGTTCCCACGATCTGCGTGTCGTCGGGCAAGTCCTTGATCTGGCCCTTTGTCAAAACTTCAACAGCTCCAAACTTCATCCATGAATCCCATTCACGCTTCATGGAATCTTGAAACTTCTGCCGGTCACTCTCATCCAAATTCTTGAGGGAGATCTCAGAGGAGGCTGCCTTCCCAGTGAGGAAAGCATCGGCAGGTTGAGCCTGAGTGAGCATGGACTCCTCTTCAGAAGCCTCGCTGTCAATCTCAGACTCAGGCATCATTCGCTGGAGTTGCCGAAGACGAACAGTATGAGGTAGATCAGGACAATCCCATAAATCTTCATCCACAAAATATGGAGATTCTTGATGTCCATTTGAGGTTCTTGAGGGACCATATGATGTTGGTTGTGTTGTAGAAATGAATGGTAGTTGTTGTGGTGGTACGGGTTGAAGTAGAACCATGGTGTTCTGCTGTTGTACTTGTTGTTGTGTAAGTTGCGATGGTGTTGTCGTGGTCTGTTGTGACCCCGAAGAAGTCGGGTGACCATCAAGTCGATCAGGCCGTTGTAGAGCTTGAGAAAGTTGAGTGGCTGCTGCAGCTGCAGGCACATTCTTGCTGGGTCTGCGTGACACCTGTGGTGTTGGTGTAGCAGACGGGCCTGGTTCAGGCTCTTGGATCTCGTCTCCCGTCCTTTCCTCCTGAGGTGCTGGAGTCGCAGGCACAACATCACCAGGAAATTCTGTGTCTTCCCGGATGGTCGCCGGTCTTGAAGCGGCAAAAGGTGTTGTTGGACTAAACTGCAATCCAGGTGGTGCAGGATCTTGTTGTTGATCCAAGATCTGTGGAGTTGCTGCATGTCCACGAAGATCAACATAGTTTCTGGCACCTCTGGTATAGGATGGTTGTAGAACTTCTTCAGGAAGGGAGTGAGCAGCAAGAAGCTCATCTTCGCTCGCAAATCGCAACTGTTCACCTGTGACCAAAACAACTGAAGGACCATAGCGCAACCAGTAAGCATGAGGCTGGCCACCCTCGGTGGCAAATTCCACATCCTCAGCTCTCCGCTGGTTCCGGGTCTCAACTCCAATGACCCTCGCTGGACCAAACCAGCGAAAGTTGCGAGCCTGAGCTCGCGCTTGT